CCGGCCTCTGCCTGCCTCTCTAAGCAGAATTTTGGGTTGCTGGATATTGAGTGCCCGGTTAGCGAAGGGGTATTTTTCAGGAGGTGGGCTGAGCACTGGCATCCTGGGCTGTGCAGTGTTTGGGGACATGCTGGAGCTGAGCTCATGTCTCAGCACAGCAACTTGTTCCTCCTGGGCCCCCAGCATCCTCCATCTGGAGAGTTTAGATCTTCCCATTTTCAGCACAGCTAGGAGATTAGGAACTGTCTTTAGACGGGCAAATACTGGGCTCACCTTTGCTTTCTTTTTCTTTGTACTATTTTGTCAGTATTCTCCTGGGGAAGAAAGGAGCATTGTTTGGTTTCATCCAGGAATAAATGTCAACTATGACAGTTGTCAAAAACACAGGAATGGATAAGAACATAACAACATTAGCCAATTTTCTCACCTCCCAGTGAGAAATATTATCAACTCATTGACTTATGTGGGATTACATTTTGTGCAGACATCTGACCTTTTTACTTAAAAAATGAAGAGCTGCAGTTTTGCTACCACATGAAGACTGTTGTGTGGATCCATGCAGCCCTCCTCATGCAATCATACAGAATGGTTAGTTGTGGAAGTTGTTTCTGATATTTTATTGTCATTAGTGTCATCTTGGTGGGCATTCCTTGACTGAAACGTGTATAAATATGTATTGTGGGGTTCTTAGAGATAAAGTGTTTTAGATGCAGGGTCTATTTTTCCTTGAGGCAGGGTGAGTTCCTGAGCAGAGGAGGCACAGAACTCCCGGCCATCTCTTGCAGATTGGCGCGCTGCACCCTCTGCCCTGGATCCAATGTTCACTCGCCAGAGCTGTCCTGTGCTCCTGGATGGCAAATACTGTTTATTCCTACGGGTGGGTGTGGGGCTACCCAGAGGGGCCACCTGCAGATCAGTGATGTGGGGACCATGCCCGATGAAGGCGGGTGGCCTTTAGAGACTTGGAACAGACCCATAGTTCTCTTTGACACAGTGTGCAGTTGTGTAGCTGGACTGGGAGGAAGCAGGGAGCCATGTCCAAACCCTTCCTTTGGGTTTTGCGAGCTCACTGTCAGGAAGGTGGCTCAATACCAGTGACCATGTTTTCAAGGTCTCACAACAAACACAGCAATCTTTGGAACTTTGCCCCAAGAGAACGTCAGCTCTTTTTTTTCAATCAAATTCTACTCACGTGTTAGTCTTGTCTTTCCTTCCTTCTTGCCTTTACTTTGTCCCTCCCTTCCTATTTCTCTGTCTCTTCTGTATTTCTTTCCCCTTGGTAATTGTGTGAGAGAAATGTGAATAGGCTGCTTTAAAACACATGACAGTAAAGTGTGCACAGGACTACATTAATTTGTTAAAAAGCCAATCATCGTTTCCGTGTCTCCTGACAAATGGATGCACAGCATTTCTTCAACATCATTCTGGTAATGATCAAATATGAGCTGATAGTCTGCGATCTCCCAGGCAGTCACCTGGGCCATGAAGAATCACAGATAGAAGAAGGCACTAACTCTGTCATCCAGCCACTCTCAGATGTGTATCCTGAGTCTTGCCGATACTGAACTGTTTGCGTTCTGACCTTCCCTCCAAGGAGAGCATGCTTTCCATTGCTGCAAGGTGAGTATGAGCCATAACTGTGACCACAGACAGGTTCAGTGTGGTTCTCTCGTCTTCCAGCTATTCCTAGGACTCTGGGGCCTGGTGAATAATGCTGGCATCTGCTTTCCCTCTGCTCCCAGTGAATGGCTAAACAAGCAGGACTTCATGAATGGACTCAGTGTGAACCTGTTGGGGGTCATCGAGGTGACTCTGAGCCTGCTGCCCTTAGTAAGAAAAGCACAAGGCCATGTGGTCCATGTCTCCAGTGTCACGAGCCAGTTGTCGCTTTTTGGTGGTGGCTACTGCATCTCCAAGCACTGT